TTTAGTACATCAAGTTTTTTTCGTCCCAGAATCATACCTAAAGTGTAAATTTTGGGATAGTCTCATACATCTGTTAGTCAAACTGTTAGTTCTCCCGTTAAGTGATGATGTGGCGTCCTGATTGGACGCCACGTGTCATTAAAAAAATAAAAAAAATTATTTAAATAAAAATAATATTAAAAAATATTTAAATAAATATTTAAATAATAAAATAATAATAAAATATTTTTTTTTCCTTCTTATTTTCTTCTTCTTCTTCTTCTTCTTCTTCTTCTTCTTCTGGGTTCGGTTCTCTCTTTTTTTTCTTTTTTTCTTTTTTTTTTTTTTCCTTCTTCCTCCTCCTCCTTCTTCTCCTTCCTCCTCCTTCTTCTCCTTCTTCTTCCTTCTTAAGAAGGAAGGAGGAGAAGGAAAAAAACAGAAAAAAAAAAAAAAAAAAAACCGAACCCAGAAAAGAAGAGGAAGAAGAAGGAAGAAGAAGGAGAAGAAGAATGAGGAGGAAGGAGAAGGAAGAAGAAGAAGGAGAAGGAAGAAGAAGAAGGAGAAGAAGAAGGAGGAGGAAGGAGAAGGAAGAAGAAGGAGAAGGAGGAGGAAGGAGAAGGAAGAAGAAGGAGAAGGAGGAGGAAGAGAAACCGAACCCAGAAGAAGAAGAAGAAGAAGAAGAAGAAGAAGGAAAGAGAAGGAAGAAGAAGGAGAAAGAGGAGGAAGAAGAAGAAGGAGAAAGAGGAGGAAGAAGAAGAAGAAGAAAAAAAAGAAAAAAAAAAAGAGAGAACCGAACCCAGAAGAAGAAGAAGAAGGAGAAGAAGAAGGAGGAGGAAGGAGAAGGAAGAAGAAGGAGGAGGATGAGGAAGAAGGAAAAAAAAAAAAAAAAAAAGAAACCGAACCCAGAAGAAGAAGAAGAAGAAGAAGAAGAAGAAAAAAAAGAAGAAGAAGAAGAAGAAGAAGAGAAGAAGAAAAAATATATATTTTATTATTATTTTAATATTTTATTATTTAAATATTATTTAATATTATTTTTATTTAAATAACTTTTTTATTTTATTTTTATTTAAATAAATTTTTTATTTTTTTAATGACACGTGGCGTCCAATCAGGATGCCACATCATCACTTAACGGGAGAACTAACAGTTTGACTAACAGATGTATGAGACTGTCCCAAAATTTACACTTTAGGTATGACTCTGGGACGAAAAAAACTTGATGTACTAAATGTTGAAAACCACGAAACATGAGGGTGGTAAACAGTCTTTTACCCTTTTTTTTAACATTGTAACAAAGATTTGAAGCCGAATATTGATATAAAAGTTGTAATCATCCAAAAGGACACAATGAAGAGAGTAAAATTGCTGATGGAATTGGCAACAATATGACCGCAAAGGGTGATGGGCCAGACATCAATCCCATACCTAAACTTGTATATATAAACCTGTCAAACAAAATTGCAACTGATGTTTTCTAACAAATGCGAAATATAACAAGATTAAAGAAAAATTGCAAGTAGCCTTTGACCTTGAAGTCTCGAAATCAAACTCAGTAAAAACCAAAATCAGGGAATGCATAAATCAGAATCTAAATCATATTGATTTGGTTATTCTGTAAGAGAAAAAGTTATCACAAATTCACAAGAAAGAAGACAAATTCAACAAGTTAGTAGTATGGGTGTAAAGATAAATTTACATATTGAATTGAGTTTATGAGGGCAGTTTAGGTGTGACAACCCGTCCCAAATTTTACTATTTTATAAATCTTAAAATGTGAATTCACGAGAATACCCTAGATGTGAGGGTATTGACTTTCGTGGACCAACGTTTAGTGAGACGTACGAAATATTTCTATAGCGATCCAAAGCGGGTATATTACTATCTTATGTCTTTCTTTATATCCGTGCATTCAAACCATTTTAAAAAAAGAAGGTTATTTGATGGAGGAAGAAGGAGAAATGGAAGAGAAGAAAGAAATCAAGGCATTGGCTGCCCAATCAGAGTTGAGGGAGACGGACCAGTTAGGAGAAGAGGGGAGAGAGACGGACCAATGGGAAGGAAGAGAGACGAGACAAAGGAGAAAGGTGCAGAGCACCCAACCTGAACCCTTTCGGTAACCCATTCACCTGCACCCAACTCGGTTTCGAAACCGATGGAATTCTGGCAGTTTTGAACTATTTTTCAGGCTAATTTCATCCCATTTCCACCAGCAATCATCACCATACCTCTTCCCCTTCATTCTTCTATCAAGATTCGATGAAAATTGGATCAAATCTGTGACATTTGGCGAAGCTGACACCGACAAGTCTTGTGTCGATTCTCCCATTTCTGAAGCAATTTCTTCCAAATTCCACCACCAGTAGACTTCCCTTGAAGCATAGAACAATGCCCAATCATTGGTTGGAGTATCAGAGTCAAATTGGGGATGAATCAAGAACACCCATTTCTAGGGTTTCCAGCGGATTCGAGGCAATTTGGAGCCTTTCCAGGCCAAATTGGACTTGGTCACAGGTATAAAGTTTGCTATATACTCTTTGAGATCTTCATTTCTGTAATTTTTGAGAATTTTTAGAAATAGTTGAGTTTTCCGACGAGCCGGGACAGCCGACCGCCACCCGCGGCGGCTGGAACGACGGTGCATGGCCAGGGGGCCATCGATGTTATTCTTAGGCTAATTATATGCCTTGAGCTCAGTTTTTGTAATTGTGTGACGTAGGTTGATTATTGGAATCTAAATCCTCTACATTACTTGGTAAATATATGAATCGACGATCTGACTGTTGGATCATCACCAAACTTTAATATGTTATAGTACGTAATATTTAAGGATCATATAAACTTACGGATCGGAAATCCGACATACGGATCTTCTCGAATTGGAGTTGTAAGTTCATAAAATAAAATGTTGACTGCCATTCGGTTTTGGGCAATTAGCGGAGATCGAACCGTTGGATCGTAATGAAACCTTAGGATGTTGTTCAAGAAGTATAATGTGGATCTTTGGACGCAACAGATCAGAAATCCGTGATGCAGATCTTCCGAATTGAATTACGTAGTGATGTGTTTTATGTAAATTATGTATTCTATCGGTTAGAACTCTGAGATGTGATTTGATAATTGGTCACATGCGACGATAGTTCGTGATGTCTCGATAGGCATGCTAGGAAATCGTAGCGCAGACCTCAGATGAGTGTGTCTTTTCCTTTCTATCGTATATTATATATATATATATATATATATATATGATTGACAATTGACAAAAATGGTCAGAAATTGATTATTGCATATAATTACTGTTAATGCTTTGAAGTACTAATGCGAACTACGAATGACTTGATCCTTGATTAGGGTACGTAGACAGTCTAACGAGACGTTAGACCCAGCCATACCATAAATGAGACTAAATAATCGAGACAATAGCCTTGTTTGAGAAATTGAGCAATATGAAGGAATCTGGTGAAAAATGCGAGATTTAACCTTACGTCTCGGTGATTAAATGTTGATTATAAATCAATGTGTGAAGAAACGAGAAATTGTAGTTTTACGTTTTATAAATGCCATGCCATAATTAGTTTATATTTTAGTATGTAATTTGGTACAAATCCGCATAGTGTTTCACACAATACGGATGTTAAGGTAAGTTCAGGTGAGTATATAATGTTGGTATGATTGAGTAATAATTGGTGATGAACGGATGTGAGTGGAGTTTATAAACCTGCACCCCGGTGTTAGTGCTCCCGCCCGTGGTCAGGGCACTGTCCTTCACGTGATGTTCACCTCCCGCACCTTACGCTCACCTTGGATTCAAGGTAGGTGTACAGGCCTGTCGTACAAACCACTATAGGTGACCCGCGATTATTCGCATAGTCTTCACGTGATCCTAGCACTAGAGTGTATTTATTTACACCTAGTCCTGTCGTACAGACCACTACAGGTGGTTTCGACTCGTGTGCAGGGATATGTGATGAGCTAGCATATGTAATGAGATATGTAATGAGCTAGCATATGTAAGGAGATATATGATGAGCTAGCATATGTAACGAGATATGTGATGAGCTAGCATATGTAATAAGATATGTGATGAGATATGAATAAGTCGTATATATCACTAGAGGTGACTTTGACTTATAAGCTAGCATTGATTGATGAGATATGGTTGTAGTCGCACAGGTCACCATAGGTGACTCCGACTGGCGTGCTAGTATGGGTTATTAAGGACTTGATTATTTATATTGCTGATGAGATGTTGTGACGTGGTATACTTCTGGATTTAATGTTAGTATACTTTTAATTTCATATTTATCCGTAGTATGATTTTTTGGAAGCTAAATAGTTGTTATGATGAGGGATTATATTGTTTAGAAGTCTTTATTAAAGCCCTATTTTCTGACCACTCACTCTTGTTTTTATCCCTCCAGGTCTAGTAGTAGAGCTTTCGTATCGACGAGGATTCTTGGAAAGTCTTGGTATTGGAGATTACCTTCGATGGTATGATTTTCAATCCACTCTTATGTACTTTACTTATGCTTTGACGTTACGTGTGAAATGAGTTCATTTCCGCTCATGGCGCACTCTTGTATTTATGCACTTTTAGGTTTAAATTTATTCACATTTCTCCACATCATCATACTTTATGGCTTCGTCACCCTCCAGGTGTCGGCCAACACAGCTCGATTCGGAGTCCTAGTGGACATCCCGGGTTGGGGTGTGTCATTAGGTAATAAAATTGGGTTTAAAAAGATATTAATAGTTTAATTAAAAATAATATGGGTGTGGAGAGTAAGTTGGGTGTAAAAAGAGATTATACGGGTTCAAATAAAATTTCCCAAACAAAAATGTTATTCTTACCATTTAATTGTAGTATCACTTGTACCATCTCTGTAATAGAGATTAGACTCACATGTATTGACGGACTCTATCCCCATTAGAAAGATAGTACAAATAATAGTATAGCTAGATTATAAGTGTAATGGAAAAAGAAACCCACTATGTTCCGTAACCAGTGTATGTTACTTTCTCCCAAACAATTCAAATTTTTGAAAGTGGGATGAGACTGAGACCAGCTCAGATTTGTAACCAACTAAGGATAACCCTTTTCCCCCCTGTAACTCCAGTCAAATCCAACCCCAATTATTCCACAGATCCCAGATCTATATAACACTGTACCAACCATTTTCTGATTAACCATCAACCATCAGCAAAGAGCGGCAGCAGCAGCAGCACTTCCTCTCACTTTCACTTGTGGAACCCATCAACCATCAAGGCATCAGCCATCAGCCATCAGCAGAAGATTCTCAAAATTTTCCTCTCCCACTTGAACAATTAGCAGATCAGTTAAAAACCCATTATTTTTTGGAAGCAAAGAAGGAAACCCATGATTTAGAATCCGAAAAGCAACTCGGAAATTGTATTGTAATTCAATGGCATTCTTGGTGGAGGATGTTGTTGTTGTGCAGCTGAAAATGTTTCTTGGTCTGTGAATGCAGCAGAAGCGAAGAGGAAGAAAGGAGAGTGAAAATGTTGTGTAAAAAGAGTGTGTGCAGAAGTGCCATTGAGGAGGAGGAGGAGGACAGTGGATCGGTGCCTGTGTACCTCAATGTATACGATCTCTCACCTTTTAATGGCTACGCTTATTGGCTTGGCCTTGGAGTTTACCATTCTGGTGTACAAGGTTAGTTCTACCAACTTTACTTTGTGTTTGGCTGGTGATAAAATATACATAATTGTGTTTGGCAGATGAGAAAATGCAGAAAAGAGTTGGGTTTAACCTTTTGGTTGCTGTGTCTTTGGCCATGGATTATGTGTAGTTTAAGATGTATGTTCTTCAATTGGATTAGGTAGTGGATATACATACATCCCATTTGCTTTTAAATTTTGATTCAAAAACAAAAGTCCAAGGTTTTGAATGATTTAGCAATACAAGATAAAGGATTGATGTGAGTCATTCAAGTCCTCGAATCCGAAAATATTGTATTGTTAGTGTGATAAACAACTGCTAATTTCCTTGCCAACTTCTGGTAAGAAATCGAAGGTTCATGAATTATTTTCCACTTTAGTTTCCAGTTACAACAAGCTCTACAGGATATTTGAAATGTTTTTCCATTTTATTGTATTTTTTCCATGGTTATTGAGGTTTTTGATTGGATTTACTTGTGCAGTGCATGGTGTGGAGTATGCATTTGGAGCTCACGAGTATCCAACATCTGGAATTTTTGAAGGAGAACCGAAAAAGTGTGATGGGTTTACATTTAGGAAATCGATTCTGGTCGGGAAGACGATTGTTGGGCCTTTAGAAGTGAGGGCAGTGTGGGAAGGTCTTGCAGCGAAATACAAAGGAAATGCCTACAATTTGGTCACCAAGAACTGCAACCATTTCTGCAATGATGCATGTATCACATTGACTGGAAATCCAATTCCAAGTTGGGTTAATCGGCTTGCTAGAATCGGTAAGAAAGAAGTTCTTTTCTTTTGTTCATTTAGTTTATGCGGATCAAACATTTTAGTTATAAAACCAGAAGGGCAAGTTTTGATAACATGAGCTTGGAGCTCATCTAAGAAGTAGTAGTAGTAGCTAGAATGCACTTAGTGTTGAGAATGAATCCCACTCCCACATTGATGGAAGGAGCGGAGGGATCTTGCATGGGTTTATACATAAGTGGGTTACTCCCCATATTGCCAATTGGTTTTATGGTGGAACATCAACTTTCTTCAAGGTATCATAGCAGGTTGTCCCATGTGTGATGCCCAATGACCACACGACGTGCTCCACGTCACCCCGTTTGTTTTGTCCACGTGTAGGCTTGAAAATTCGCCACACATGAGGGGCGTGTTGAGAATGAATCGCACATGGAGAAGGGACCTTTCTTGGATTTGTAAGTAAGCTGGGTTACTCCCCATATAGCCAATTAATTTTAGGGTAGAATCTCAACTTTCTTCACTCTTCGAAAAAATGATCGTCTTGAAATCATTCTTTTCAGAAAATGCTGCATTCTACTTCTTAAAGTTTTACGTTTTTAATACTATTGGTAACCAATCATTCCTTAATATGCAGGCTTCCTCTGCAATTGTGTTCTTCCAGTGACTTTAAAAAATTTGGCCAAAGTTCATAGAATCGAAGATAAGGCCGATGACGGAGATAAGAACAAGTTAACAAGCCAGTCAAACAATGTGGCAATATCTTCTAATTCTCCTTCATCTTCACCATCCTCTCCTTCTGGCACTACATTGCGCAGGGGTAGAAGCAGAACAAGACGCCCACGTCCTCCCTCTTCGCCTTTGATTATTGCTTCTTCATCCTCTTGATGGTTGAAATTTGCAGCAGAGTTTATTTATTTTCTAGAAAATTGCTTAAAGATAAGAGGCAAAGTCAAGTTCTTGTTTCTGTTATCTTTTGATTCTTTTCCTGCCCCTGCAAGGTTTCCTAAGTTGGCCTTGTGTGATTTTCTTCTACCTGGCTCAAGTGACTTGGCAAATTCTACCACTTGGACATCTTTGCTCTTAGGATGATGAATTGATAATGAACTTACTCAGTTGATTTCATCGAAAACATGACGATAAATGTCAATAACCCTCCAACAAATTGTCGACACATTATTGCAATTCCGTTCTTTTGTGGTTTGTATGTGTTACTTTAGGAAAGTAAAGTATTTACCAAATTTGTGAAGATTAAAGAAAGTGAAGGGTCGTAGATGTGAGTTAGGTCAGTTAGTTAGGGTATTATACTAACACTTTGAAAGGTGTGTCTGGTTTTCTTGAAGAAGGTTCACTTTGGAATAAAGGAAGCCTACAACTAGGAACATTGTGCTCCCTCTCATACGAGAGTATGGGTTAGAAACTTAGGACCCAAGTGCTTTTGTTTAAAGTGGCTTTTCCTATAGGAAAGAAAGTTGAATGCCCCACAATATGCCCTTCACGTTCTCTTGCTATTCCTGGTTTGGTATTCGAAGTGAAATTTCTGTCTCTTTCTTTCTTCCTCTAGTTTCTTCATCTTATTGTCATATTTTCCCCGTCTTTTGACTCAATGAGGTTTACAAATATACAACTACTTCAGGACTTGTTGGACCAAATTAGAAAATTCTTGTGTAAAGTGGAGGCACTGTTTACCCTCTTACACCGAAGTTTGAATTTTTTGTCTTTGACTCCATTCCGATCCTACCGATAAATATCAAACATTTGCACAGGCAAATTTGTGTTTTTGTTGATCAATGGTTGTATTTGATACGCCTAATTGTCTCTCCGCGCAATACTCCTGAAAAAATAGTTGAGAAATGCACATAAATAAAACTTTTGTCAAAAGTCGAACATTTTACAAAAATTCAATCAAAAGTCAACTTCTGTCACTAAAAGGGCACTAAACAGGCAATGAAACGCGTCTTATTGATATTTGAGTCTCTTTATTATTTCTTTACCGTCCGTTTAGTGAAATCAATTCTTTTTTATTGAAAATTTTCAAAAAGGTCGTGTATTATAATATCAAAAAGTGATAAAACGAAATTTCGAGTTTCATAAGTGCTTTTATTCTATCAAACACCTTCATGATAAAATCTCTTCACACTAAAGTAACATAATTCAGTGGCTTCAACTTGATCAACTCAAGTAACTTACAGCATTAGTTGGACATTCAACAGAATAAACTATGGAAGCTGTGCTATAAGTTTATAACATTCAACGAGATTTTAGCAACTATATACATATCACAAACATGCAATTTCCAAAGGTAAATCCTATATTTGCAAGAGAATAAAATGAAGAAAAATAAAGTCCTGAGGCCATTTGATTGTGTCTTAACTGTCCTGCAAAAAGGCCAATCACAGTAAAATTCAGGGCCGGTGCCAAAATAACATCTCACTGAAAAAAACAAGGATTCGAAGAGTGCTTCACCAAGAATTGTAGGGTTTACAGCAGAGGCTCAGGTTCACCGAAAATTATCAGCACTGGCTCTGCTTATCTTGTATCCAGTCAACAAAATTGTCGAGGATCAAAGGCCATGCAAGTTCAGGGTCGTAGTTGCTAAGGTCTGGAAAACTTATCTGTGCAAAGGCTTGTAATGATAAAATACTAGCTAACATATAGAGCAGCATTTAAGAGATAAGACGTGACTAGTAGTGAATATGTGGACAGGCATGCGATATAGTAGTCAATAAGGAAAACGAAAAGAAACAAAGCAGGTGTTCAAATAAGCGACCAACGTGTAAGATTACCTCATTGCAAAACCGGTAAAAGCCCATCCACTGATCCATATTTATGACTTTGTAATCATTCTGGATCTGCGTTTAGAAAACAAAGCAATTAGAATCTTACATTTACAGTCAGTTCTCTTTTCAGTGAAGGTGGTAGTTACGCCAATGTGAATAGATACAAGATATTGGACTACATATGAAGAAATTGAGAGAAAAGGATCCCCATCATCTTCACTAAAGATTTAGAACAATTGCATATTTAAGAATCACTTCCCCGACTAAACGGAAAACCAGTTCATTACTAAAGCAATATTTTTCAGCTACTCACCTTTAGATACTGAGTAAATAAGTCAACCTGCAAATGGTATTGAGATCCTAAAACAATATTTAATAACTCGCATATGCTGTCTATATCTATGCTCTTCTGTTTCTCCTCTGTAAATGACAAAAGAAAATTACAGATGGCTGATATTAATACATATACGAAAAGGTAAAAGCAAAAGGAAAAATCAATTACGTTACAAGATTTAACCATAAAAGACACATTGAGCTTGTTACCTGTTAAACAATATTCGAATGCATAGGAATAGAAATCCACAAAGTTTGATGGCCTCCTGACCTATTCATAATATAATAAAAGGAAAACTAATGAAAAGGGCTTGAAAACTTTGAGTTTTAATGATAAGGACAAAATAAAGGGTAAAGTGAATAGTATTAGGTTTGACATTTTAATGTAAAAATGTGGTTTTTCGTTAAAGTGATGTCAATGTGGTTAAACAATTAAATTGCCATAGTAAAGGAAAGCAATTTTAAAAATCTACCTCTTTCTCTAGCTCTGGAAGTGCCTTCTTTAATTTATTTACATTGTCCACCCTTAGTCCTTTAAGACCTACTCGCCACTCTTCCTATCAACGAGGAGATTGGCAACGTCATGAAACAAATGGAACGGTTAGAGTAATGACTATGAGAACGTTCCACATCAAGTTTCAATTTTTACCAGAAAAGTATATCAAGAAATATGCGACTTCTAATAGAACAAGAATCGAACGGTTAAGTATGGAATTGACTTTGGATTTTACATTGTGGTCAGCATTATTGGAGCATAAAGTCCACACGAACTACATTTGACCAAAAAAAAAAAAAAAAAAAAAAAAACACTACAGTAATCCTTTAAAAGGTTATTCACCACTGTAAAGCTTGACAACTTAACCCGAGTGTCATTTGATCTGTGTATATATATATGTAGCTGAGTGTCTATATGTTCGTATAGAGTATACAGATTTGTCTGTATGGACACATGTCCTCATATGTGTACATATGCATGTAAATAAATATAATACACACGCACACATATTTATGTATATATTTTCCTTATTCCTATAGCTTCATAAAATAGGACTCCATTCCCCTTTGAAGCCAAGGACTCCATGTATATACATATAAATCTCTTCGAGTAAACACACCCAGACGTGTAAAACAACAACAAACCTTTGCACTAGACCTGGCATTCGTGTTGTGTCTTCCGTGTTCATGTCATACCCGATATCTTAACGGGTCGTGTCGTGTAACATCCGTTAAAATAAACAGATAAAATGACCCGACCCGTTACCCGTTAAGGAAAATATATTTTAAACCAATAAATAATCAAATGAAAAACATAATACTAAATAAGTATATACATACTATATTGTCACATTCAAAACATAAAAACATATTTTTCTTTTAAGTATATTTTCACTTACCTAAGTCTTTAATGATTTTTTAATTAATGTAGAAGTGTGAAAAAATATAAAAAAAATATATAAACGCTCGTAATGACAAGCTTTACAACTTTCATAAAGAGCTTAACTTCGAAATTCGCCACTATAATCATATAAATCATAGATCAAAATTTAACCGTTGATTGTTGTTTACATTTACGCTTTATTGTTCTCATCAAATTTTTTTTTTTTTTTTTTCAGATTTTCTTTTTTGAAAACTTGATCTATCAGAGGATGCAGGAAGATGAACGGTTTGGATCGTTGATATTATATTAAGAGTTTTACGGTTAGTGAAAATATTACTTGATGTTTATAAAGTTTCTACAAACTACATGACATCGACTCATATTTCAGTTAATCGTAAATATCGAAACGTGATATCAAAGATCTGAACCGTTCATCTTCTTACATCAGCCAGGTGATCATGTTTTCAAAAAAGAAAATTTTAAAAATGAAATTCAGTAAGAAGAATAAAGTGTAAATGGCAATTGACGGTTAAATATAAATTTAAGGTTTATGAATTATAGTGTTGGATTTCAAAGCTGACCTCATCATGAAAGTTGTAAAGTTTGTCACTATGAGTGATTGTATATTTTTTTTTTACATTTTTTACACTTCTACAATAATTATTATTAATTTTACCCTCAAATAAAAAACATTATTCATGAAGGTTTGGAGGATTTAAAAAATCTAAACGATAATATAGGTGTAACCATTATCTACTCGTGGAGGAATAATGATGAATCACGAGTGTTTATATATTCTTTCACATTTTTCATACTTGTATGTATGTCTTCTTAGTTCTTGCCTATACAAATACTATATTAGTTTATTTTAATTTTGGACAACATGTTAAGTAAAATTTATCCTAGTCATAATAAAAATAAACACTGACTAAAACTTTTTTTTTTAACTTATATAGAATAATAATACAAAACTATATATTTAGTATAGAATATATTGTATATATTAATATGGCTATTATATTTTATAATAAATCCTTTAGTAATTAAACTTTAAAATTATCAAAATAATTTTTTTCTTAACGGGTCGAAACGGGTTATCCACGTGTTACCCGCGTGTATACCCATTCAGAACCCGTTATTAACGGGTTCTTAACGGGTCACCCGATAATGATCCGATAACTTATCGTGTTAACCCGAAACCCGTTATTTTCGTGTTGTGCCATCGTGTCATGTCAGAAACTGCTGGGTCTACTTTGCACTAACCTTTGCATTTGGACCTTTCCACTTTAACAAGTGCCATGTGTCATTTTTACACAAAAAGCAAGGCATTAATGAATTTGAAATTATACTTTTTTTTTTCCATCTTTAATTCCTAAACAAAAGCATTAAAGTTCTTTTTCTTTTTTTTGGGTAAACAATGACACATGGCATTTGAAAAAAAAGTGAGAAGGTCCAAAACTAAGAGAAAATCCAATTATCAAAAACAATTTAACAAGGTAGAGGTTAGATGCTAGATGAATGAAATAAATTGTGGAACCATACAACAAATTGATAAATGGAGTAAGTGATAATTCCATGACAAAAAACAAAAGAACGTAAAAGTACTTTGATATGCAGATGAGAAAGTGCTGCTTACCAAGGTAAAGTATCCTTGTTTTTCAGCTTTCATTTTCCTGGCATA